GGTACAGATATTGAGGTAAATGTTTTAGTCAAATAAGACAAACTCTTTACTCTGGGTTTCTAGCCACACATCCCCTGAATCCACCACTCTCCCTCTTCACAGCTTAGTAAATAATTTAAATCTGTAAATACGATGACCTGATTTACCCTTACAACTTATGAAGTAGGTGGAGGAAATGCAATATACTGAAGTTCCGAATGATAGTCTGAACTTCAGACTGCAACAAGTGGAACCAGCAGCATTGTGTCAGGAATGCCCCATCTGACACTGAGTGATGTATGTGCATTATTTAAGAGTTAGATTTGAGTAAAGTGGGTTCTTTATGAATTATGAACTACTAAATATGCACAAGTATAAAACCACCTAATTAAACATGAACAAATTTGAAATGACCTAACTACTAAACATGATAACCATTTCCTCAGTTTCTGGCTTTACATTTGGCTGTAATTCATTTGCAGCCAAATGTAAAGCCTGTGTTGGTTTTCTCTGAGGTTTTCTACCGCTTCCTTGAAAGCCTTTTTAATTGAGCTTAACGTCTTCCACAGAGACTGAAGTCGGTTTTCCATAGTTGTCAGGACATTTCTCTCCATCATCGGCGTCCCTGCCTCCAGGAGAAGGAGGATGTTCTCTGCCTTGCTGCACTCCTTCAGCAGGTCCTTGAAGATGGCCTTCCCCTGGCGTGTAATTTTCTCCGGGCTCATTTTGAGGACTCGAGGTGTGGTCTCAGCCCAGAGTTTGTCAAAGAGTCGATCACAGATAGCATGATACTGTTCTAGGGGGTATTTTCTCTGTCCTGACTTGTCAATAATCCTCTGATTATTGACAGAAACTGATGGACTCAGTTTCTGAATGTTCCAGTTCCAGCTCAGCAGGAATCATACCCTCACAGATTTCTGCTGGAGGTTTTATATTTGGAACTGGATGGGAAACTGTCAGTCCAGGTGGATGTGAAACCTGCTAATTTCTTTCCTCTTCAGAACAAACTTGAGAATCTGTTAGTTCCTCATTGCCTTCATCGTCCAGCACTGAGGAAGCCGACATCTGACTGTCTGTCCCACAGAGCTTCCTTCACAGAAAAAGTGAAGGCAGATGTTGAATCATCAGAGCTGGACTCCGGTTCTGATTTGTTTTCCAGCAGATTTTCAGTCAACAAGATCTCCGGATGAAAGAAGGCTGCTATGGGTGAGATGTCATCTAACTTTGGCTTGCCTTCTATTTCCTGTGAATCTTTGGTTGAGTTTCTGGTACAGAGTTCCCCTCATCTGCAACGTCCAGAGGAACGAACAGATTCTCAAGTTTTGTTCTGAAGAGGAAAGAAATTAGCAGGTTTCACATCCACCTGGACTGACAGTTTCCCATCCAGTTCCAAATGTAAAACCTCCAGCAGAAATCCGTGAGGGTATGATTCCTGCTGAGCTGGAACTGGAACATTCAGAAACTGAGTCCATCAGCGAACCGGAGGAAGACCAGTCTGAAGAGGTAGACATGAGAATAACAGCTGTGAGAAGCCTGGTCAGCGACCAGGTCAGCTGTTGCCTGGACTTCTAGAGAAATAACGGCTGCCATGGCCGTAGTTTCCTTTTTGTCTTTGGCCGGCTGAACCTCAGCTACACATCCTTTAATGTCAGAAATGTTGTCCACAAGAGAAGCTTGCTGACATTTTTCCATCTTCCACGTGGATGCTCAGCGTTGGCTTGTCTTCAGTCAGAGAGGTTTCTTGTTGTTCCTGGATGATCATCGGAGCCACCGTCGATGAATGTTTACCAATGCAATTTCTGAAAAATCTCTTGATCTTTCCAGTCAGACCTTTAGTCTTAGAGTTCAGCTCACACGTTTTACCGTCGGCTGGTTTCTTGAATTCCTCAACAGATGAGTGCGATCCATCCAAAAGGTCCTGCATGATGGTGTTAATATTGACATACAAGGTGCTTGCTCAACATGATCTGTTGTAGGAGCACCTGAGTCCAAGCTGTGATTGACTCTAGCCAGCAGATATTGCACAATCGGTCTGTGTAAATTCTGTGTGTGCTCGGTATTGATCTCTTCGTCAATCTCCAGGGCTTCAGCGAAGGTTTTGGGAACTTTGTTCCCCACAGCCAGCTTCCTTTCCCCACAACTGTCTTTGTGAAGACTAAACAGAACTTTGCATGTTAACAGCTCCAAGATGTCTCCAAAAGTCTCCTGCAGAGCAGTGGTGGTGCTGGGTTCTGGGTTTCCATTTGCCAGTCCCGACCTCTCCTTCGGGTTGAGGTTTCTGAAAAACGGGTGGACCGCAGCCATTGGGGATCCCACGGTGACGGTCTTGGTCTCTACGGATGGCAAACTCTGTCTGCTTGGAATGATTACTTCTCAGGTCTTGAAGAGAGCAAAGTGACGTTTAGGGAAACAGAACGAGCAAATAAAGACTGACTAAGACTATGACGTCCCTCCACACGTCATAGGCATCGAACCACAGCGTTGTAGCCTCGCGTAAGAAGGAGCCACTTTACTGCGCATGTCAAACTGTCTAACCATTTAAATTATTCACAGTTGGGCTAATTAAATCATCGCCCGGCGCAACTCCCGCAGCTTTGCGGCGTCTGCGGCCGTCACTTTTATTTTTAGCGCCTCAACCCTTCTCTTTTTTTATTTTTTATTATTATTTCTAAAAGCTTAGTTTGTCAAACGCCAATGGAGGAAGCCACAGTTTCATTTTCCTCTGGTTGTGACCAGAACAGGAAGAAATTATTTTATTCGTCCTTTGCATGCTAAATATGAGTTGCGCGGTATTTAATTTCGTTTTATTTTGATAAATATTCCCAGATTTAATAACAGTGGAGTAAACTGTCGTCACATTAATACAGAAATGATTATTTACTTTAGAAACGCAAGTAGAAGACGGTGCAGCACCAATAATCTTCCTGTGGGAAACTCTTATTGTGAAGTGAACATGTCAAGTACTTCCGGTCAGCTTAAAAGAAAAGCCGTGTAACAAGAAATGAAAAAAAAAAAGCATTCAATAAGACAGATTTTTTTCTCCTCTTATGGTAATTATGCTTGTGTACGTGCTGCTCAGACCCTCCCTATCACTCTCAGCTACTTTAATGCTGGTTCATCACAGCCTGCCACTAATGCTAAGGCTAGTAAGTATAGCCTAAACGTTTTCCTGGTAGTTGTTTCTCTACCAACACATTGAGCAACACAACATAATTGACAACATGAAAATCATCCTCCCGGATCTGATTAGTTGTTTTTGGTTGGGAGAGATGCATTTATTCAGACAGCAATAATAGCACATAGCGGAGTTGGAGGAGCTTGATCTTTTCACAGATCTCTATTACTTCAAGTCATAGTAACAACAGAAAAGTAATAGTGTGTACAAAACCAATTGAACACTGAAATCCTTCAGTATTTTCTATCTGCTTTAAGAAGTTCATTTCGTAACTAACGTTCCATCTGTCTCCTCTGATCTTCCTGGTCTGCTGTTCTCAGCTTTCCATTTCTTTTCACTCCAGTGCTTCTTGATCCCATTTCCCAGAAACCTCTTACCACATGTTTTGAATCTGAATGTTGGCTCCTGTTCAGAAGAGTCGTCATCTCATTTCCTGTCCCTTGCAGTGACCTCTTTGCTCCTCAGCATTAAGCTGTGCTTTTGCTTTTTCGCATCGCCTTTGTGTCACGGTGCATTTTCATCAGGAGAATCTTGGCGTTCTTTGAGTAATTCTATTTTTAACTGTTCACATGACTGGAGGTATGATGAATCATGATTTTTCTTCTTCCACACAGCGTGTATCGTATTTCACTCTAGTAAAGCAGACATTTTGGGACAGTCTGACCCAGAAAAAGATGTGACAATGTCTTCAGGTGGATCCTTTTCAAACTTAAAGGAATAGTAATAGCCTGATTCTTTTTTAAATTTATTCATGTTATGTGACTTTATCATCAGTTTTCTTACAGTAAAGAGACATGCACCACGCTGATGGGAGTTTGTAGAGAACTGAAGGAACTCCAAGGCAAACAGTTTCTTCAGATGCCAACCAAAACCACTCAAACTGAAAATATATACGATCAACTGATTACAAATCCATCAGGGTCGCTTTCCAATGATACTTGGAAAAGCAGAAGAGTGCACCTCCTCGGATCTCGGCCGCAAAAAACCAAACTTTAATTTTGTACGTTTTAGGAGATTATTTTAAACTAAGAGTTTTTCTGTGCAGGGGCCGGTTTGGATGTGAGCGATGTGGCTGTCAGGGAGCGGCACGAGAACTCGAAGGGGAGAAAAATGACAAATCATCTGTCAGTGGGACAATGAACAACTTTGTGTTGCTTTTGTGAAGGTGTCATCCATGGGGACTGGGCGCCCCCCTGTGTTGTGCAGCTCTGCAAGCGCAACAGAGGCTGAAGACAGTCGGATATTTCTGTGCCCATTTACGCTTTTTATAATTCATCTCGGATTAATTATGAATCACCAACATAATTGGATCAAACCCGAGCTGGATAATTCTACACACGACAAGGTATTTAGATCACAGTTAGATATTTATAAAACTTTTATTAATTTTGTGAATGTACAAAAAATGCAAAAAAAAAAAAAAACAACAAAACAAAAAAAAAAAAAAACAGAGCATTTTAAACACTTTTTTTTGCATCGATACAAATTTGGTACAAAGTGGATAAACATGTAGGAGGAAAAAAGTTGATACTAGCTACATGTCTAAAATGAACGACTTTGGTGAATGACGTCCAATTTCATAGTGAACATGTGAACCACAACCCATTGTTATTGAATTTTCAAAGACAAGAATAACTGAAACGGTACTGAAAGCAGAGGTAGATAAATAAAAAAACACTGATGGGATTTAGCTTTTAGCTGCAGATGATTACAATAAAATATTTTGGATTGTTTTCTCTCCATAAATACATACATATATATATATATATATATATATATATATATATATATATATATATATATATATATATATATATATATATATATATATATATATATATCCTGTGTACTTATTTACTGTGTTGAAAGAACCATTTGAAAATATTGGTGATGTTGAGGAAATGTTTAGCTGCATTTATTCATCTTAGAGATGTCGTATATGTCAGTCTTCCTTCTGCCAACAAGCCAATAGAAACATACCTTCATATGAGTACACGTCGATAACCCCTCATACACACACACACACACACGCGCGCGCGCGCCCACACGAACAGGTATACAGCAAATTTGCGATTCACTCCATGATCGTCCTGTCGTGTCTCTTCCTGAAATAGGAACGTGGTGCCATATATGTTCCAAACAGATGATCCCAGTGTGTGAAGTAGGGGGCAAAGTTTTTATTGTGCTTCTTGTGATGGGTTTGGTGGAAGGGGGCTCCTCCCATGCAGGGAAGTATTCTGTGCAACGCCCATGGCAGGTTGTATCCGCAGTGGTCCTCCACCGCCAGCCAACTGTTCAGGAAGTGGAAGAGGGCTTCGCTGAGCGGGTGGCAGCCCAGCATCCAGGCGCTGCCCAGGGCCAGCAGCAGGAGCGACAGCAGTTCGGCGGCGCTGGCGTCTTGCGCCGCCAACGCAAAAGGAACGTGGTGCTGGTGGTGCATCTGGTGGACGGCACGATACAACCAGGGGACCCTTGGTGGGGAAACAAAAAAACATGTTGGTCTCAGTGTGGTGTCCATTCGAAAGTCCACTGTGGAGGTTTGGTCAGAGATCAGAGAGACTTTGACATGTCAAACTCGAGGCCCGGGGGCCAAATCTGTCCCTCTGTAGCTTTTTATGTGTCCTCTACACTCCACATTAAATCAATAAGTCCATTCAGTTTTTCACAAATCTGCAAAATTCACACAGTCCCACATTTTTTTTCAGATTTTTTCCTAAATTTTTTTCTCAAAATTGGCCATAAACATTTGGTGTAAGCGACTGCTGCCTCAGCAGTACTTGATGTCAAATTACGCTTCGTGACCAAAGCAGCATGTCGTCAGCATAACAGTACATCAGGGGATAGTTGTGCTTATTTTGCTGTTAAAAACTCTTAAGAGGTTCGATATTCAAACAAATTCTTCACTTGGATGTTATCAATTAGGTTGCAAGTGCACTTGGAAGCAGCCACAGGCTCTCGTAAACAGCTAATCGGAGCAACATCCTGTCATCTGCAAAATATTACAAGTATCAAGAACATCCTGCCATAAAGTGATGTTGTAAAACTGGCTATTTGCATCGTGTACTCTCTCATTGTTTGCATACTGACCCAAAATAGTGCGTCACTATTATCAAGAGTACAGATAGGCTGTTAGCATCTTTTTACTTGTTTTTTTTTTCTTTGCAGTCCTGGTAGGAAATTCTGGCATCCCATATGGACAAGCTGGTTGCCTGCATTTGCCAGTTAGCTCAATATTATGGAGCAAGAGGACATTATCTGTTTATTTGGAATGTAAAATACATTTTGTTGAGTTAGGTAAATTAATTTGAATGTTTGTGTTGCGGTTGGGTCGTCCCCCCAAACTCCTAAACTGGCGCTACATGCTAACGCTACATTTACGACGGATAGCTGTAAAGCTGACAGAATCAGCTGGACACAAAATGTTTTGCCGGTTGGAATAATAAACAATCTTTTATTTTATTTAACGTTCTTATGCAGAAAATCCATTTGTCAAAACTGCCAAGAAATAAAAAATTGTTTGATTGCTGTACTTTCCATCATTTCAGAGGAATTTAATCAATTATAGCTTCTGTGGTGCCGATTCCATATCCATAACTGATTCATCTGCAGATTACTCCCACTGTTTTGTCATGCTTCTTGCTGTTTGTGTGCAGAGATGTGGAATAAACTCTTCTCTCCTCAAACTTCTGGTAAAAGTCCAGTTTTATGTCCAAGCAAACAAACCAAACATCCATTATTAAAAAGTCCTGATGTTTTGATTTGCACACACTGTTATGTTGCAACATGTATATAGACTGTGAGGGGTGGTTCTGTAGTGGTTTCCACACAATAAGCTTATCTTGAAGTTAGCCTTAGATCCCAACCATTAGATGTCAACAGGAATCGGATCATTTTATCCTCGCCTGAGTTTAATCGAAACTCTAAATCTGATCTCTTTCTGTTCACATTATGCACCGACACCGACCCGCTTTGATTGGAGATTTCAGAGTTAAAGTTGGCAAGTGAAACCCAAAAGAAGTTTAGTTAACCGTTTCCTGTCAAGGAATCCTGGCTGCTTGTTGAAGCTTTTAGAGGTGGGAGCAGGAAACAGAAAATGAAACGCAGTACAGAAAAGCTGCTCTGTTGGGACACAGTTTTCACTCAGTCATCAGGAAATGCAGCCAGACGCTGCAGCCACTCACTGTGTCAATCAGGAGAAACAGGATAACAAATGATTACTCCTCTGTAATCATTTGTTTTTTTCTTTTCTTTTGAAATAATGGAAAATTATCTAACTACACATAGTGGTATACATATTTAATGAATGCTTATTACAAATTGAAGATTTCCCCCCCTCTCAAATATGTATCTGTAGCAGTGTTTAATTATATTATTAGGTGAAACTTACTTTGTACAGAGGAAGGGAGACGAGCTCCGTCCCACATTAGTATTTGTGAATTTTCAGTGTCACTCTGAGACAATTCAGCCCTGATACTGAGAACATCACTGACTCGTTTTTGCTATTAGGGACATTTAAAAGTTAACGACAAAATAAATGTTCAAAAAAAGTAAAAACTAAAGCAGCAAAACTGAGATTGGCAACCGAGATGCAATGGCAATTAAGAAATGTGATTGAAATAAATGGAACAAGTAGCCTCAGGCCATTGTTATAATCCTGCTTCTCACCTGTGCATGCAGTAGTGCCATAGAAAGAAGAACGTGTCGAAGAGCAGGAAGCACGCGACCACCTCCACAGAGAGCCGCCAGCAGGACGGGGCCAGCTCCGGGAGGCTCGGGCTCCGCAGCAGCTGGAAGAGCGCCGTGGCGGGCAGCACCGCCGTGGCGTACTTGAAGAGGAGCCTCCAGAAGCACTCGTGCCACCTCCAGAGGGACGGCGGAGGGCCCGAGCCCGCCGCTATCCTCCACGAGCGGACGCGCCCGCACACGCCTCCCAGCGCGTCCAGCGCGAGGAAAGGCGCGCAGAGTGCGAGGTGCGTGAGGAGGGCGCAGGACGCGGCCAAGTGCGGGGAGAGCAGGACCTGCTGCTGCCCGGCTCTCACGCTCTCCCAGAGTCCCTGCAAGAGGGGCGCGTGCGCGCGCCCGGGTCTACGACGGATTCGTTCATCGTCACGGTGGGGAACCTCACATCGTCTCCGCGCGCGCCGCGCTTCTTCCAGCTCCAGAGTGATCACTGCGCCTTTTCTACAGCTCAGGCTCGATACCCGGAGTGGGAGGGGCCCTGGGCCCACGCTCTGAGTGAAATACGTCTTATGTGCGTGTACAGGTGTAGTGGTAAATTCCCTTATTGCTGCTGTACCTGAAAGCAGCACCACCCAAGGCTGAAAGTTTAGGGGATTTCTTAATGTGGAGGCGCGGCACATGACGGTCTCATGTTATCTCATCTGACATCCATTATCTGTACATGCTGAAATAAATCCTCTTCCGAGTTAAACATGCCTCAACGAGCCCCCCTTCCTATCAGATACTAACAAATACCTCCAGGTATCTGACACGCTGAAACCACAAGTTTACAGAAAGCAGATAAAAAAAATTAATAATGAGAAGAAGAAAAAAAAAACACTGTCTTGAGTGAAATCAGACCAAATTGTGTCTTTTTATTGACAATCTTCTGGTTTCAGTTGTACTTTCAAGCTATAAAATCTGTTCTTGGGGAAAGCTGTGCAGCTCCAGAGTGAAAATATTGAAAACAGACAAGAAACACTGTAATGTGAGACAAATTTACAAAAAAAACCCCCAAACAAACTATCTACTGGGTTGTGCAACTGCTCTCCCACTATTCAAATAGAAATATTTATGAAATTGTTATAAATGAATTTTGTTTCAGCTTGTTGTGACCCAGAGGATGATGAGACTCCAATTCACACTGTTCCACAGAACATGTCCTCCTCAAGGCTTTCCCAGCTGGTTTCCTTTTCCTTGCTTTCACTTACGGTTCTTTAGAAGTTTTCCGACAGTGTAAGATGTTGATAACGCTGGAAGCCTTAAATGAATCCACTAGAGCCTCTAGCAGGATGAGAATGTTTGGCTAAACTGACTGAAATGAATCACCAGAAACTTTAATCACACTTCAGTCCTTCGAACAAAATGTGTGATGAGTTTCTTGTAAGAGACTAAAAGCTATTCTACTCACAAAAAATCTGCTTCTGAATATGGATTTTTTGGGGGCACATTTCAAGACGTAAAAGTGCCGTCTCTCTTCGGAGTTTCAAATCATCAAATATATTTTATCTGCCAAAGACCAGCTGAATAAAAATGAAACGTACTTCAACTGAGTCTCTTTTATAGTCCAGGAATTGTGGTCTCTTTGCAGAAGCGTTTCATCAAACCACAGTAGAAGTGTTTTCAACCATCTATTTTAAGGATTCTTAGAGATTTACATCTGGACTTTAAGTAGGCTCATTGTCCTGCTGCAAAACCCAGAGCACAAAAGCTTGTACAGATCCAAGAATGTTTCATTTTCGTCCCACTGAATATCCCTCCCCCTGAACCTCCCTGACATGGACTCAGATGGGGCGAGGCATGTGTTGCTTCAGACGTTATGCCTTCCTCTGTGACCTTTTGGATGAGTCAAGGCTTAAACCGTCCAGTTTCACAAGTCTTGTGTTTTGGTTTTTCATTTGTGGGTGATGGCTTTCACTGCGGTTTGTCACAGTGGAAAAACGCAAAACTTTAGAAAATCGCTTTTAGTTTTTTAATAAGCTTTTCAAAACCGATTAACGTCCGTCACTGTGTTTCTGTGGCGAAAACAATTCAAATTTCAAACAAAAGGTAAACAGTAGTTAGCTTCTGTGGATTTTATTGTGTTTCAAACACAAGCTTACACTCTTACTGTATCAGTAAAAAAAAAAAGAAATATTCTAGATATATTACTGCCCCTTGTTGAGAAGCTTCTTATTTCTCGATTAAAACAGCAGCTCATTGTCAGAAGACAACATGCTGATTGTACATTCGTTATTGAAAGCAGTGCAATACGATGTTCTGTTGACTCAGTGCTCGTCTCGGTCAGCCTGAGAAACTGGAATGAATATGAGGGCATAATCTCATAGCTCTAAAGGGTGCCGCCCGCTGAGAAACGCATAAATCTGGATGAACACACAATAGTTCTTTGGGAAAAAAAACGCCCAAACAAACAAAAACTCCTGAATTTCATCAATAACTCAATGCACCATGGAACTAAAACCAATCAAAAAGTGAAAACAAACAAACAAAAAATAGAACAGAAGACATCACAGCAAATGGATTTTATTTTCTTGTTGCACTATAACGCAGCATTAGGTAATAATATCTAAAAATCTGACTTCAAAATGGAACAATTCAAACCACATCATGTAATGATTGACAAAATGTAATGTTTTACCTGCGCAGCAGAACGTATGAGGATTTTGTTGCATTTTGTGCCGATTATTACAAAATGCAGAGGTAGCTCTTCTTTTAAGAAACTATGTAATAAACAATCAAAAACTGAATTATCACTTGTAATATTAATCATGCAAATTGAGTCATTAAAAGGCAAACGTTTAGTTGCCTTTTCAGACTCATAGCCAGAACACGCTGTCTTAAGTGTTCAAAGCAAAAACAATTTGAGATTTCATTACATTTTGTGTCATTATTAATGACGCATTGTATCATATCGTGGAGTTTTTACACAATGCTGCGTTACATGCTCTTCATAAAGCTTTTTAAAAAATGCCCGTACAGTGAAATGCTTCTAGTGCAATCTCACATTTATATTAAGTGTTCCCTCCTTCATTTTCACATCGGTAAAGTTGCCAATGTTTCCTGTTGAACAGTTTCCAACGCAACCAGTTAAAACATTCATCAAATGACTGCAGAAAGAAGTCCAGACTCAAGCAGATGTCGCCGGTCTAAGTTTGGACGTCCAAATTAAAGTAAGAAGCTTCTTTTCTGCTTCATAATCTGAGATGCTCTTGGCACAGTCTCCTATGGAAAAACGCCATCCACACCTGATCTTTCACAGGAAAAACGGAGAAAAAAAAGTAAAGGAAATCAAAGGAATTACAGATTCACTGTACAGATACACACACACAAAATCATACAAAAAAAAAAAGCAGTGATTTAAATGAGACAGTGAGCAGCTACCACAGTACATTCATCAAGCTTGTGCTGTCCACTGCTGCACTCAGGGCCCGTATTCATCAAGCAGGTCAGAAGGAAATAGAGTCCGACTCACTACCGGATGGAGCCTCTTTGAGGCACACAAAAAACCCCCCACTTTTTTCTAGTTATGATATACATCTCGATGAGAGGAACAACAAGCCTAAGAGCTGTTTTGAATTTTATAAGGGGGACTTTTCTGTTTCCTTGCTTCTTTCAGAATTGGTGACTGAAATGTCACCAATTCACTTAATATTCTTCCATTTGTGGTTGTTATGAAGGAGGGGGTAGGTGGTCTGCCATACACTGCGTCAATCTGTAACCACCAGCGGGCTGTTTTCTGACTAATGAGTCAAAGTCATTTATATGATCTATTCATAGTCTGCTGCTGGGTACGAGATGCAGTTCTGTTTAATTTTGGTCTCTTTCCATGAATCATCATAGGCTGGGTCAGTTTTTAGAAAGGTCTTACGAAGGCAGTAGCCCAGGGCCACAAGTTCTTTGGAGTGAGGGGGAGGCAAAAAAAGTTTTTTTATGGGTACTTTGCATGTTCATATTAAAGTCATGGTTCATTCACATGTGGTGTTTTATTAAAATATTGTTATATTTTAGTAAATTGAAACTACACTCAAATATTTGAAAATTATCTTTGTGGGTCCAACATCAAGCCATCTGCCAGATGTTTAAAACCAACTAATTTGCACCTGCAAACGTGTAGATCTACTTATTGATGTACTTATTGTCCTAGTGAAATATTTAGTTTATTTTTATTTTTTTTATTGTTTGGTATAGGGCACCAAAACTATCTCTAGCCCAGGTGTCCATATTCTTCTAAATCCGGCCCTGGTTGTAGGCTATAAAATGTTCAGAATATGAGAAAAGTACACACCTGACTACTTCTCTGACGTTTTATCTTTATAAATCATGAAAAAGTATGTAAAGTAGTTCTAGTGTATGGCTATGAAGTAATTAATTTACAGAAACAAATTGGAAATGGGAATGACTTGTAGTAAAATGTGGGTGCAAAATGCAGGATGAACTGATAATGGACGACTCAGATTTGTCGGAGTAGGAAAGACCCAGAATGGGATCCTTGAGGTTCACCATAAGAAAGAAGGCTGATGTGGCCAAACGTTTCCTCATGGCTATAAAATATGAGACATATTGGAACAGCCTCAGAGACGGGTCTTAATGAAGGATCACAGGCAGTAATTAAGTTTCAATTCCGAGTTGCGCACACATTGAAAGAGCTGCTGAGTCACAGCAGAGCTTTGATCTGATCCAGCAGGTGTTTTCCTGGGAACCCATTGTTAAAGAAGCATACCCTGATCACAGGGTAGGCACAGCTGTAGGCATATTCTTTTGTTAGTCCTCTCTCCTTCAAGGTCACAATGTATTTCAAGTATGAATTTTTTTTGGTAAACTTCAAACTTCATATTGTACAATTTATTTTTCTGGCCTATTGTATAGAAACATGTTATTTAATCCTGTTTTAGTAGAGGATCGTGAACTGAAACTCATGCTTTGTCTGGCTCAGACCATAAAACTCACTGACAACTTGGGAGGCTGACCCAGAAAAAAAAGAAAAAAACTATTGACTTTGCTAACAGGAAACAACCAGAGCAGAAAGCTGTGTTTATGTAACTGGAATGACCGTCGGTTTGGTTCAGCCCTAAGAAGTGAGGCAACAAAAATAAATCTTTAAAGCATTTTTTTTGTTGAATGTCAGAATTAAATGGGATAGCTGAACATAATATCTAACCTACAGTTTTGTTATGTTACAATTTTGTTAAATGTTACCTTTTATCCAGAACAGAGTGGAAGAAACATTGCCTGAACTTTTATTTTGCCCTCCAGTGGGATCCTGGCAGTGATTCTGAAGTGTCTGAGAAATACTGACCCCAGACAGCAGATTCTGTTAGTGACGGCGAGTGCCTCTGTCTCCTGCAAAGAGTCCACCACTCCTGGGTGGTTCTAAGAGTCCAAGTACCTTCTTCATTAATCCAGGTCTATAACCTGATCACTAATAACATCCAGGGCTGCGGAGGCCTTGATGGAGCTCCCCGCGGAGCCGGAGTCCACAAACATCTGAGGTATGTCATTACCAAAGTAGATCTTGCTGTTGGCTGCGATGGCTTTGTACTTCATCAGCTGGAGGTACTCCGGAGTTAACTTCAACTGTAAGAGAAGCAGAAGAGTTTAGAAAAAAGGAAGACTAGTCTGGATCCTGCAGTGCTGGCCTTGGTCACATCCAGATGACATTAACTGTTGCTCAATAACAGCAAAGCATTCACTGTACAGGACTAGAAGGAGATATTATGCAGTTTGTACTTCCAGTGTTACACTCTTAGTAAGGGAAATGGGGAGCATTATTTTCTGTTGTAGGCTGAGAACAGATAGTCATCATCTGTCTCTATTGACCCTTTGCACGTGACGTCGCCCTCTTCAGAAAGCGGATCACTCCCCCACGATGGATGTCAGAACAACAGGCGCACGGCTCAACTCAGTTGGGAACAGTTAGTAGCCTAAAGTTGCTTTTACTTAAAAATGGCTACAGGTCCCCACAAACAGACCAAACCAAAACTGGCATTTTATTGTAAATCTTTTGATGAGGACAGAAGACAGCTATGGATAGTAGCCATCCATCGTGAGGACTGAAAGCCCTTATGATTGCAACTCAGATTAGTAAGATGCAGTCAAATACTGTACTGTGGAGAAGACATGCGTATAATCAGTAACCATGGAGAGAATGCTACACTGTCATATAGCTTCCCATACGCAAAAAAACAACAAAAAAACCCAAAACATAAGCACATGAACGTTTATACGTTTTTAAGGGTGCATTCACACCCGCCTGGTTTAGTACGCTTTAATCCAATTCTAGTTTGTTTGCCCTGAAAGGCCAGTTTGCTTGGGAAGGTGTGTAAATGAACTCTGGTCCACCTAAAAATCTCAGTCTCCGTTCTATTAAAGTGAACTCTGGCACAGTTTGGATGCTGAGAGGACTGAAGACGGCTCCAAAAGCAGGAAGTGGACATTAGGTCAGGACATTCGGGGTGAATACAACCAAAACAAACCTGCGAGCGCTGTTGGGGTATTGAGCTCTAGCCTTTTACCAAAGACAAAGGAGAAGACCAGAGTCACCACAGGTGAGGTTTTTCAAAAGGTTTGGTTCATTTGACAGAGCAGCGTCAAAGTAAAGTGCACTAACTGAAAATGTAGCAAATATTCCAATGTTAGTCATCAATCAACCCAAGTCTACTGAACTATCAGTTGTGTAAACACCCTAACTCTGTTCCAGTTTGAGGGGAAACAGCGTTTATGACATAGTACTATAAATTACGTGACATGATGCCACTTTGACTGGCGGAGGCTCTGCGTTCAGGAAGGAGGCAGGGCAACACAATATAGTCGAGGTAGATTTATTCAGGCAAAGTCAACTTTGATCAGATCAACAAACACGTCAGCAGGGAGGAGGTATGGGCTGGTTTCTAAGTCAGCTTTTTCTAACTTTCGTAAATACCACAATCTGTAAGCCCCAACAAAGTGTGTCACTTCCACAGACAAATTCATTGACTTGAATTATCAGGCACCCTGGCTTCGTTGGTAAAAACAATCGCAGTCCCTCGCCTCCGACATCCGCCATGACGCCTCAACAAGAGTAAGTGACGTGGTTGCAAAGGGTCAATAAAACTGAAGTAACCCCCAGAAGAAGTGCTAGTATTGGGTTGAAGCCACTTCGTCATCACTACTCACTATGTTCTTCATGGCATTAATTGAACAAGGTGTCAGAAACTTTCCTCAGATTCTGGCTAATGCAGTCATTGGACTGTAATTAACTTATGATCAAGAACTACTTCCAGAGGAATTGAGTTTAATGATATGGTGAACTACCCTGCTGAATGAAACCATGAGAAATGAATAGACTAGTCATATCGGAACCGGCATGTTGAGCAGCAGTAGTCAGGTAGGCTGTGGGCCGAACATTAAACTACTGCTTTCATATTGTACATACACCACATTCTGGCTCTACCGTCTGAATCCCATCGCAAAAATCCAGACCCGTCGGATTATGCAATGCTTTTTAAATTGTCTAATTCTATCTAATTGTTTTGCTCTTAGCTGGCAGTAGTGGCTCTACTGCTGCTGAAGGCTATCTGGTTCAAGTTTCAACATGTGTGTAGAGACAGTATTCTGCATACTTGACTGTAACAAGTTGTTATTTGAGTCTTGTTTGCCTTTCTTTCATTTCAAACCAGCATCCCTATCCAGCTCTGACCTTTACCCTGGAAGAGGCAACATAAGCACAGCTGCTTCTTACTTTTTTAAGAACATTAAATTAATCTTAACAGATGGTTGTAGGCAAAAACCCCAGTAAATCTGCATTTTCTGTAAAAGTCAGAGCAGCCAGTCTGACACCAACCACCATGCTCCACTAAAAGTTACTCAATTGCCCTGTCTTCTTGATTCTAATGCTTGGTTTGTCTTCAGTACATCTAGATGCCTAGAGGCAGTAAGATGCTACCCTGTTGATGGCTGGTTCCTTATTTGTGTTAAGTCAAGGGTTCCCAAACTCGGCAATTAGCGTCTGGCCGGGGTTCCCCATTGCAAACTCAGACAATGCTTCACAATACTGTATGTAAACATCAACTTTCAGAATGTTTTTTTTACCCCTCACCCCCCTTTTTTTGGTTTGGCATAATTGCTGCCTCATACCTTCTGATTTCAAATGACTTTGATATCCAGGCTGGAAAATATTATCAACAGTGAGACACCTATCCTGATTGAATCAGTCGCTGCGTTTCTGTTACAAATGTGTGCAAATCATTTGCTGATATTCCACTAATGTCAAAAAAACAACTTTGCATTTGCGATGTTTCCATTAAATTAGAAACGCAATTAAAGTTACACGTGGATAAGCTTGTTCATCCAGTTGTTGATTGTGTGACTTCTGTGATGTGATTTTGCAAAAATATTTTTGCAAAGTATTTTTAGAGGGGTAGAGGCTGTTGCCTGGTAGGACTGTAAAATGATTTATTGAATGAGTTCAGGACTTTGACTTTTAAAATTTCTCAAGTCTGTGTTCTAGATGAATAATTACTTGTGTTGTGCAGCGCTCTCACTTCCTTCCACCAATGAACTGCGGACGAATGCTAATCGCTATTAGCAGCTATGGCGTGAGACTCCGAGGCAGAGAAAGACGCTCCATCAAAACAGAGACAAAAAGTGAGGGATTACTTTAAACTAGCAGTGCACCGATCGCCATTTTCTGGCCGATCGGCGATTACCGATCTTTTAAAAAGCTTAATCTGCCAAATCTGATTTTGGCTGATACCAATTTTTTTGTCTGAAATTAATCAACATAACAAGGAAGTTGTTGTGTTGGCAACAGTGAGTCATTATTGTTAATTGTGAACGTGCAAACATAACTTGGAGGGCTGGTCTGTCAGTCAAACTTTTCTCACTGGAGAGCAAAAGAGGGCAGTGGCTGATTATTACACATTAAACCACATAATGTTTAATGTGTATACATTAAACCAAATGAACCAAATGAAAACAGGACTACAGAACGCCCTAGAACTCCTCAGCAGGAAACATCCATTACATGCATCGAGATCGCACACAGCTGCTGACAGATGATGTTTTTGTTCCTTTTGCAAAAGACTCAACTTTTATCAGTAATTGTTAGTGTAGAATCTGGAAAATAATACACATAGATGACACAAGGAAACCCACTTTGGCTAGCATTACATTTACTTGCTTATCAGAAAAAAGCAATTGTGAAAAAGAAAGTAATCCAGTAATTGATGGATTACTTGAAGCGCTGTGAATACATTCTGGTTCACCGTGTGTCCAATCAAAATAATGGAGAGAAAATTAAAATTTTACCAACTCAACCATGAAGAAGAAAAGCTCCTCCACCTCCTGCTGCTGTCCTGATATCTTATGACTTTTAAGAAAGTTTAGTCTGTGTCTGCATCTGATCTGATTCAAAACTCCTCCTGCTTATCAGGTATTTTCTCATAAACAGCAGTTATCAAACCTGAGCAAAAAAAAAAACAAAAAAAAAACAAACAAAAACAATCTGGACAAGTCTTTGTAGCAGAATTACAGACCAATCTATCATGCAAAGCATGTTGCTGCAATGAGCTATACAAATAAACTTGACCTGACACAAATGTTCAGTGTGAAGGATAGCTGCAAAGCTAACAACGATTTAGTTTATATAACTACAACCAACTTACAGTCAATGTTGTCTCAACACACTTTGCCAAAGAACTCTCCAAAAATTCCCATCTAACCTACATAAGTACATATAATGTCAATCAAATCCACTCATGCAGAAAGATTCAAAGTCATCCTAGAAATGAAAACACAAGTTCAGCTTCTAATGCCATTTGGTGTGAAGGCTTTGCAGCCCATTTGATAGCATCAAATCACTGAACAAGCATGTAGTGACTGCACCGTTAATCCCAGCTAACTGAGTCACTGACTGCAGCAATCCCTCATGCTGAGAGAATGGATGTAGAGACGGTGAAAAAAGAGCCAGGCTCAGTGTGAGTGGCCGTCTGGCTCGACACACTGGGGCTTAAGAAGCAGAGATGGGACCAAGTCACTGATTTGCGAGACTTAAAAGTTTTGATTTGGTATTGAAAATTGCTTGGCCTGCTTGGCCATGTGTCTTTTACTCACTGTAACAAAAATAATTATTGAATTAGAAGCAAGAAAGTTACTTACTTAACTCATTTTAAAAGATGTTTATTAGGAGTGGGAGTAAATAAGTTCATCTTCTTCCCACTCCTTTTGAGATAAATGGGTTCTTGTTTATGTCTAAATATAGTATCATTACATATAACATGAACTGGATGACTCAGAAAGTGTTCTGCATTTACTGTATTTATATTTATTGTATATTGTATTTATTTTGATTGTGTATATGTGAATATATGAATATTTATTTTGTTCCATTTAGGCCTCTTAAGGGATATCATATGCATTTGATATGGCTCAAAATAAAGCACTAATAATAATCTGTATACGAGTCAAAAGGAGGAAATTCAGACATCAGAAAATGAATTATGTTGTGTTTTACAGTAAATATGAACGTAACAGAGAAAAAGGAGCTGAACTCATCTAAATTGAAAATGAAATCTGCTTTTTGTTCCAGCTATAAATTATCTACATGTTACAAAACAGAGAACAAAAATATCAATTTAATCTGTGTTATGCAATATCACTGTGCTAAACTTTTTAGATTAATCATGAGTTAGCATTTTAAAGTTGGCAGGACTTTATTGCTCCAGCGACTCTAGAAACAGTAATTTGTGGAAGAAAAGTTAAAGTATGAATTTTGCAGCCGAGGGCGGGGTTCATTTAAAACAAACAAACAAAGCTCAGCCTGGTGGGAGGGGAAAGGAAAGCCTGGTGGCCCGCCAGGCTTATAACACACTGGGTCAAACTTTGGAGTGTATGTTGGATGAGAATAAAGTGCAGGTGAGAGGTTGTGTCGTCCGGCTACCTTGTTGGCCTCAGCGGTTCTCAGAGCTGTATAGAACTCAGCATCAGCCTTGGCTTTCTGCCTGGCCAGGAAAGCGTCATCTGTTCAGAACAAACACAACAGACCTTTACTGTGCTGTGCAAGCTTTACATAAAGATTACAGAAATGTCAACAGTATCCCTGTGCAACCTCATTCCACATAAAAGGAGCCCCAATCCACACCTGAACCTGTTCAGGATCTTTTGTCTGTTGAGAAACTAAGGTTTGTGAAATCCTATAATCCACCGCTAACGTACAAACCTTCGATTTCAGAGATCTTCTTTTCAGTTTCCTTCTCCATAACTTTCTGCCCAAACTTGATTTCTGCAACTTGCGCCACTTTCTCAGCCTCTACAAAACAAAGTGAGAATTATTCACATTAAACCTGCCGGTTTGGAAAACGTCACAGACGGACCATTATTCTCCACTTTCTCCCTTACCTATGACAGCTTTAATCCTCTCCGTTTCGGCCTCCTTCTCTACAACCTTTTGTGTCTGCTGGGAAATCAGGAGTTTTGTCTTTTCACTCTCCCTTGAAAACAAAACCACAAGAACAAAAACACAGATTATTGTGTTTCTGCCAACAATGGAGGAATGTTATATACAGTTCTGGAAAAAATTAAAGAGACCACTAAGGTTTTAACCTGTTGAAATCTTGGTTATTCCACCAAATATTGACTTCTGAACTCTTCGTGGGCTAAAACGTCAGTTCTGTTGTTTCTAAATGAATGTAAACTTTGTTTCTTTGAATTATTTGATGTCTGAACACACTGAATCTATTTCATGATTTGACCATTTCTCTTTTCCTGCAAATAAATACTAAATTTTTGCTTGGAATTTCAGAGCCATATTGTTACTACTTCACAGAATAAAAGAACAATTTTACTCAAACATATACATTCAAAGAGCAAAATCAGAGAAACTGATGATTTTGCAGTGTCCTTTGAATATTTTTCAGAGTTGTAGTTTCTTATGTTTTGGTGAACTGTCATGGAAAACCAGAGATCACCAGAAAGGTTAAGAATTCACATCATCAAACTGAACATGTACATTTTGCAGTACTGTGAGTGGCTGTGTAATGCAAAAGAGCCATCAATCTAGTCTTATGTAATACGGTTTAAAAGAAGTGCTATGAACTTTCAGAGATGGGAACAGTAATAAGTAACACAGAGAGTGTTGTCAGAACTGGATCTTCTTTCCAAAACTATTTCTCCCTTTGGATAAAAACTAAAGTTGGCCCTCATCCTCACAGTAACTCATTCATGCAGGAAATGAACTGTCCAAAACTAACTAACAGGCTTATGTTGTTGTAAATTGAAAGGGGTGCTGAAAGGGGTGCTTGTTGTTTTAAGTTGTGGGTGAGATTTATTATGGAGTTTTGCATTTCCTCTGTTCATCTTGTTTGGCTACATTTTCCCTGGCCTTAAATTAATCTCAAAGCTGAATAATGAATGAACTAGACAACTTGATGATGAACTGAATTAACTAGACGGCTTGATGACGAACCAAAGGAACTAGACGGCTTGATGACGAACTGAAGGGGAAAAAAAAACCCAGAATGAAGAAATGGCTTGATTCTGGGAATGGTGGACAGTCCATAACAGAAAGTTTCTAAAGGGGGCAACATTGGGAAGACAACAGTTGTGCATACCATGCACATGAACTCATCTGAAGCTGAAATCTCTGCACATGACTCACACCAGACCAAGTTAACATACTGCAAACAAATAAAAATACTTAGGTTTAGGTTTTTGACTTGAAGTGTCTGTTCAAACACACTCAGAGAAATATTTGTTTCCATGTCGGTGTTCTTGCGTAGGGTTCAGGGTTCTGACCACTCTTGGCAGTGTTTGAAGTTGTGTTTATGGATTAAATGGTACATGCCATTGAATTTCAAAACCATGTTTCTGGGATGTAAAACCTACAATCTGCAGGCAATCGATGGACACTTTTGGGATATACTTGTAGTGTCTGGAAAAAAGTCAATTACAAAAAAAAAGGACGCCACATTAAGAACCAGAAAGAATGGGCTCAGACAGCAGCAAATATTTACCAAATGGAAAAAAAATTGCCTTCAAAGTTCATTTAAAGGTAGTTATTTTTAAACATTAGAATGAATGGGGGAATTATATCAAACACTATATGCCAGGAATTTCTGATTTGATCTTTTGATAGCCTGATGATATTCAACTTCCCGTTTTATTTCTGAGCATGCCAAATTTGTCGTCTGTCACAGTGGAGTTGATGTCACTGTCTTTATTTGTACCTGACAGACCCTAACATACTTTGCTTCACTTGAGTTTTGTCAATGCAAGAGATGACGTTTTCCATCTTCCTTTTTTAATAGTCGAGTTTTTTAAAACATGTCCCAGCTACAATCACACTCACTATATTTGCAGCTAATTGGAAGGGCTTCATTTTCGGGAAATCAGTGTTTTTACGCTGGTCGGTCATTTTGGATGTTTAAGTAATGACTTGAAAGAGCTTCCTCCCACAAACACAGTGCCCAGCAGTGGGAGTTAGATAAGCGTAATATCTATTTGTTTAAGAAGAAAAAGCAATTATCAGAAACCATGTCCCACTGAGCTAGAAAAAGAAACTTACATGAGTTCGTAGTTCCTGCGAATGCTCTCAGGAATGTTGGGCTTAGTGACTCGCACGGCCTGATGGAGAGAGACAGAAGATTCAGTTAAGCACAACATGCCAGAAAGGACCATAAAAAGAGGTTTAACCAAAGGAATTGGGGGTGGGGGGGAGGAGAGAGACCTTGAACAAACTCAGGGACAATGTTTATTTGTTTTAATTTCTATGGACTTCCCAGTCTATAACTTTTACTTCAACTGATTCAGGGAAAAAAGGGAAAAACACACAAGTCTTCTTAGACCCAGTGGAGCATTTCTGTGGGTGAAAGTTGGTGAACACAGCTTTGGGAGAGGAGGGGGGGGGGGGGGGGACTATAGCTTTAGAAAGTTATGCAACACTTAGCCTCCTTTGAAGAAAAAAAGTCTTGAGTCATTATGATAAGTGAACCAGCAAGGATAGAAACACTGGGAACGTCTGGAAGCCATAAAATCTCAGCGGAGAGGAAATATTGGGTTTCTTCCAGTAACAATAACTTGTAACCTTTTCATTTTGTCCCCTGGTTTCCTCCAATGCCTGATTTCCCTGAGAAGAAATGAAATGCGACTGCAAATACAACTTTAAAACCAGCATGGAAAGACATTTTGTCTGGAGTGAATAAAAATTCTTTTCACATTTTTCGGATGTGAAAATGTGCATCAGTTTCCTTCCGCTTCTCAAATAGATCCTGCCTCGTGTCGGTCGACAATCCAAACAAAAATAATTTGATTTTGGATGCTTTTACATAGAGCTGCATGAATATTATAAAGACTAAATTCAAATTCAATTCAAATGAAAAAATACTTCAAAGATGTTAAAGGGAAATTAATGTTATAAGTCATGAATTCAAAGTCTTCAAGGAGTTATGGAAAGTTATGAAATACCAGAATCGGTACAAGCTGTTGCCATGACATTACGCAATAATTTATGTATATGAAGAAGCGTTTAACTTGAAAACATTTGAATTTGAAAACTAAATTTGAAGCTATATGTTGTTTTTGAAGATAGTTGAATGACTGATCATGACATGCGTTTTGTTCATGGTATTTTCTCACGGTCCAGAAAAAACCCCTTACCTGCTGCTGGTAAAGAAACGTGACGCCAGGGCAGAAAGACGTCAGCAGTAATACTAGATGCCGTCCAAACATGCCCTTGTGGAAAACTGAGAAGCTGCTAAATAGTTTGGTCTTTTCTCCAAAAGTTTTACGAGCCCCCAATTTGTATTTTTTAAAAAAAAGTTCAACAGGAAAATAAATTTTTGGACATAACTGTCAACCTTATATTTATTAGCCTTGTTTGCATGCCCCGTTTCTTGTTTTGATGGCGCTCTGCAGTAGTGTTACGACATCACACAGAATTCTGGGAGGTTTTTGATGATTTCATGCGGATGAAAACATTTCAAGGACCAATATCATGTTAAAGAGGAACTCTTTCAGAACAACCAACCAGAGAGATCATTTTAGAAGAGAAAAAACATTAACAATCAAGCAGACACAGTCCAAGAGAAACAAGTTCAACTTCAGAGAAACTGGATAAAACAGATCTAATCCCAAGTCTCTTTCAGGAGACAGTTGCAGGATCTAGTGTCACTCCGTTGACCTGAAAGTAAATCTCAAAAACTGATGAGTGGTCTTCCTGTACCTGGATTATAAGGCCAGGCGCCATAGATGTTAGGTCTTCTTGTAGCGTCAACTTCAGATTTTCATCGATTTGGTCTGTTGGAAGAAGCAGTAAAAAGAAAGAGCCAGAGCTCTGTTCAGTTATGAGAAGTAATATTATATTTTGGCTTCATTTGCACCCAAACGAAACCACTGGTTTCTCAGTTACGACAAAACAAAGTACAACTTGAGAAGAGAGATTATGCTGTTAGAAAGGTGCATTAAAAGTTTTTCATGTACAAAATGTGAAATAGTGCAGCTATTGTTTTGTTTACCACTTCAGCATTTTTGCTAACTTTGAAGGTTTGGCACTGTAAGCTTCCCCTAACTTAAAATTTCAGAATGAATTCTCAAGCGCTATTTCACTTACATGTTTTGTAAGCTTTCAGTTGGATAAAGTCTGTGTTGAAAGTTTGGGTCGTCAACTATTCTTGAAGTACTTAGACATTTATATTCATGCTCTTATTTTGAAATGGGTGAAGACTGTTCACACAAACAATTCGTCACATCATCTTTTTTCCCATAGAAACTTTCAACATAGATGTAAAAACAATTTTAGTATTAGCTTCCGTTAAACACCATGTGTGTTTTTAAGCATTAGTGGAGCTTATTTTAATTTCTAATACCTTAGGGTTAGTGCAACTAACTTTTTAGCTAACAGTGCCGTTGTTTTTAACCTTAGTCAGATATACACACTTGTAAAAAACACTTTCAATGTAAAATGCATATGAATAAGATGAAAAAACAAATGACAATATTTGGTTAATATATACTCAATCTGTAACATGGCTCTCCTCACCAAACAAGCCGATGTAGACTTCTTGTAGAGAGTGAACGCTGCAAAACTGGTTGAGCTCGTGATGCACTTTGTTGAAAATCAAAGCTTTGTCATAGTCTGCTGTGAAGTTCCTCACTATGTCGTACACTGCACGAAAGAAAGACGAGTTGGTTTTCACAAACACAGAGGATTCCGGGTGTGCGTCTGAATCCAAAACAATGGCATCACAAAGTACCTGCTGATGGAACGAGGTAGTTCACAACTTCAATGCGATCAAAGTAAATCATCACTCCTCCACTGGAAGAAAGCGCACATCAAAGGGGTTTCACCAAACACTCCTTGAAAAAATTAATGACTGCATAGCAAGTTGTTGATGTGTGAGTTGAAGGTGTGAGTGTAGTATGGGGCGTGTACAGTTACGACGCTCCCGCAAAGCTATTTACACCTGCAAATCTACTGAAGCTTACCAGAACAGAAAACCCACCTGGTCCCACATGGTACGTTCTTCACCTCATCAGTCTGCAGTGTTGTCTGAAGGTCAAAAATCACACAGTTACAAACTCTGTTATATTTCCTCATGTCCTCCATCTGATTCTTCTACTGCTATTGATGTCCAAAGGAAAAAGGGCTGAACTCGTATAGCTCTTCTCCAGTCACTTTGACCACTCGATGGTTAAAATGTGACTCCACTATTCAGTGGAGTCACATTCACCCATTCACACTCACATTTGAACACCAATACGCAGATCGGTAGATCATTCAAGACCCAGTGCCTTGCATATGTGGCAGGAATTGAATCTACAACCTTCTGATCACAAGACAACTACTCTACCAACAGAGCTACAGTGGCAAGAAGAAATAAATTAATCAAATGATCAATTAAAATGAGACATAAAATGTCTTTCAGTTCCACTGTTAAATGTTCATTAAAGTTTGTTGGTCTTTGAAAGATGTTCTTACATTCTGATGCCATTGCTGTTATATTACTTGAAAATAATCTCAAAACATTGTTTAATCGCAGTCATTTCTGGGACAATTTATTGTCCATCAAAATTTGTTATTGGAACAGGCCAACTACTGTTTAGTGTTTCTAGTTTATTCATAAAAAATAAAGAAGTAAGAGCCTGAGTATCAGAAAACAGAACTGAAAGCAATAGCCTGTCGAACTGGATTCTGAGACAGCTATAAAACTAAGGAGAGCGAGTCAAAAGCTGAAAGGTCATAAATTTATTTCCTGAAACAACAGAAAGCTGATGCTCTGCTGTCTGGCTCTCTGCAGCTTACAGTTCAATTCAGGTTTAGTTCACTGTCCTTCTTGCACGCATCATTTTCTCTACCCATGTATGGGAAAATGAGCTTCTTTCAGCAGACTCACAGCTCCAGCCAAAAGGCTTGGCAGCAACACGAGTCATTTCGCTAGCTTTGCAGTTTTTGCTCGTTATTGTTTTGGCACAAAAATCCCCTCTCCTCATTTCAGCTCAATCGCATTAAGCTGTGAAAGAGTCCATCTGAAATCAATCTGGGATTCTGATAAACAGACTGATTGCTTTTAAGTTGGTACAGTTGTGCTTGAATTTATCTTTGTCCTGTTTTGGCAATGATTAACACCTAAAAATAAAGCATGCAGCCCTAAAGAATATCTTTCTAAAGGACTAAAAACTTAGACATGACACATCCAGTTGGCGCCAACAAGGTCCAGTGTGCTAAAGTAAGCGTGTCCAGGAAGCAGCAGCACAGTGTGCCACTGGGGAGTGTACTGTGGCCAGTGTGGGGGGGTTTGTTCAATCAGGGTTTTCTGCCTCCTTCAGGGTCTGAACAACTCGCAGCAGTTACACATTTTTCTTTAAGACTGAAAACTAGGGCTGGACAATATGGCTGAAAAAAGATATGATATAAACATTTCATATAATTCAATACTGACAGATATTGATTTATTTGTTTTTGGTTTTAAATATTTGAATTACAAACTGGAGGTGTTGTTGAATATTCTGTCTGACTAAACATCTACTGATATTGATCGCATGTCAATTGCAATATGCATTGTTACTGATCTTCTGTCCAGACGGCTGAAAACCCAAAACACTTAAGAGTAGTTGGGGGTTCTTCAATTAGTTTCATCAGGCGAAGCAAAGCTAGTCACCTGAACAAGAAAAATTATAACGTTTTAATATCTCAAGGTCTTAAACAATGAGAACCTTCAAACTTTCCTTTGTTCTCTGATCTACTTCTCTTTCACTGATAAAAACCATGTGCCCCAAACCCAAATGCCTGCTGCTCCTTTACCAGGCCCCTACATTTATAGAAAGTGAACTGACCCACATTACTTCCTGTCTGACTTAGAAAGAAAACAAAAAAATACATCAGGAAAATAATAAAACAAAACATAAACAAAATCAACAATTATTAACCTGCAAATAAACTCTGTAAATAATACAAAAAATAGAAGTTTAAGAATAAACTAACAAAATTCAAATGGATAAAGGAATAAAGAATAAATAGCTCCAACACTGATGACTAAGCTCAATGTTGCAGACATTCACTGCACTTCCTGACAGAGAAACAGAAGTCCTTTCAGACCAAATCTATGAGAGAGACTTCATATTACTTCATGAGGCCTTGGCCAAGTGGAAAACTTTTCTTGGACAGCAGCGGTGCTAAATTTGCTGGTGGTAGGTCTGGTTTTCAGTTTTACTTTGTTTTATACACTCAGTGTTCAAATGTTCTGTCCTGCTTATTAACTTTAACTCTGGCTTAATGAGAAACATGTTCTTGCCAGTGAAAATAATGCTGGAGTTAAAATGGCTTTTTATGAAAGGCGTCCTTTAGGGGAAAAAAAAAAGTTTTAATTCAACTGAATTTCTTTTTATTCAAAATGTGGCTCTTCTCAATCTAGAATGGCATCATTTTATATCTACATTCAACATAAATTTGTCTTAATTCCAATCTTACTTTAAAATAATAATGTTAATGTAAAATAAACCTATTTGGAGTTTTATATCATGTTCTAATCTTATTCCCTCATCAAAAACATTTCTAGAGTGTTGATTTGATACTTTCATGCAGGTTTGATAAATCCTAAAATCTCCCGTGGCAACCATTGAAGGTTGCCTTTTTTGTGCGCACACATCCTTTATGCATGAGGCTCCTGGAGTTCACACCTTATTTTAAGAAATCTTAAAGCTCCACCGGCAGATTTATTTTTTCACACATATATGAAAAAAAAACAAAAGATCTTGTGTTGTTTTTGTAACTTGCAATGAAAAGGCTACTTCTTGCAGCGCTCCCACCTGATGAAAGCCCGCTCATAAAAACCTGCAGAGCCGAGGCGTAGGACACATAAAGTGTTGATGAAAACTATCCATTAGCAAAATGTCAAAATAGGAATATGTCTGCATTCAATGAGAACTTCTTGAAAGGAAATAATCTTAAACATATTGACAGAGGTAAACTGCTGTGATATTATAGATAAAATAATATTTAAACGCACCACTGTTATCATCTCAAAGTTTCTAGAGTTTAGGGCATTATATGAAAAGTTTGACGCTTCTGTTTCAGAGCATATCCACAAATATAATTTCTCAAGGACCTGTGTGGTGCTAACATATGCTACTTTAATCTTAAAAACAAAAAGAGAGGATTCTGAGATGCCTGATCTAATCTTACTGACCTGTACAGACTTGAAGGTGGTGATGAATGGGAGCATAAGGTGGAAACCGGGACCGCTGGTGGCAGTGAGAAGAGCCCCTCCCCTGGGATACGCAACAAGGGCAGATTGAGAGCAATATTCACATAAGAAAAAAAAAAGTATTTACAGATTGATGAAAAGCTTTGATAACTTTCAGAGTTGCCCGCATTTTGGAGACGGGAGCGGCAAAACTCCTCGCAGGCAGTGCTTCACTTCACTTCTATTCAATTCAGCTGCTCACTAAATCTAAACTCTGATTGGAGAAAATGTCTCATTCTGACTCAAGCAGCTTCACTGTAACTGAGATAAGAGAAACTTCCAAGGCAAACGTTACCAACGTGTGCCAACTTTAATCTGCATCACAAGATCGTGTCAGTTTCTATCAACAGTCCACCGAAGCAAGGGAAAAATAAAGAGGTTTATTCATTATAGCATGCTACGGGAACAAGGCATGTCAGTGCAAGTGGTGATAATTATTTGGCCTAAAAGCAAAGCAGAGTTGGCATGTGGGGAATCTTTTTTATTGGCTCTCACTATACAGATTTCTCCCGACCCGATCTTTTGGGCTCACCTGTAGTACACTCCGGTGTGGCCTTCATCGATTTTGTGCACGGAGGCCAACAGCGCCGCTCCGCCGAGAGCAGCTACTATGGAGAAGATGGCCCCCCACTGAGCCATCCCTGCACACACACACATAAATACACAGAATGACAGACAGCGTCTGAATGAAAGCAGATGGGCCTCTAAGACAATCCTTCAGCAAGTGATGGGAAAACTTTCCCATTTAACCAGTCAGCTAGCAGTCAGCTTGGGCTTTTCAGGGCATTAGCAGGGACTCCAACCTGAGCGCACACTTAAAGAGGATTGAGATTAAAACAACAGAAACGTAACCTTTCTGGACAAAGACACAGCAAGGCCATGAGGACATTTCCTGACTGTCTAGGGCCCCCTCCTGGCAGCTACATTTACTAATTCATCTCTTAGTTTTGACAAATCATTTAAAGGCAGCATTAACTGTGTCTAATGCTACTGCATTCATATTAATTGCGACAAACCAAGAAACTAAATTAATTCCAATTAATTATTAGAAGCAATTAATTATTTCAATTACTGAAATAATTGCCAACTTAATAATCGATTTAATAATCGATTAATTGATGACTGGAGCATACAAACTCAAAAAAAGAGTAGTTTAGCCAAAACTGTACCAACAAAGTAGGTACATTTTGCACTTAAGATTAAAAAACAAACTTTGTCTGGAAATACGTTTTACCGAACTGTTTGGTAAAAAAAAAAAAACAACAAAGAAAAGAAAAACATATTAAACACCTTTTGCTATCCAATTGTTCTTGATAAATAAAGAAAATAACCAACAGATCAGATTTGCACGGCACTGATGTTAAGTCAAGCAAAAATGGCTGAGATTTTCACGTTCATGTTTTTAGCTGCAGATGCATCCTTTGTTCCGAAAACTTTGTTACGTTTTGGGAAGTGTGTTTTATGTTTTTATTTAATAAACAAATGCATTATTTGTTTATTTGCATCTTTTCATTTATAATATTATGTAAGAAAGGCTGAAATAAAAAATCTACAGAATATGCCAATTTTTTTATTCAATCAATCCATTAATCAGAATGACTAATTGATCAATCCACAACTAAAGTAATCATTAGTCTTAATTAGTAGCTGTAACAAGAAGCAACTTAAAAGGCGTTTTCTACGACAAACAAAGACATGTCTGGAGTTCGTTTAGGTTGCAGGAAGGCTGAACAAAGTACAGCCAAGTTGAACCGATTCATCACCATGTGGTTTTGACATTTGACACGACCTCTAGAAAACCGGCAAGATTAGAAAAGTTAACGTTTCACATCTAGAATAGACACAAAAGTATGACTGGTTCAGTGGAGCTACACCTGCTAACTGCTACTATAGGTTTAAAATGGTAACTTCATGATATTTTTGACTGTTTTAAAACAAAAACAACAACAAACCAGTGGTGTCTGCTGTTCTAATATGAATCACAAATGGCCAATGACTGCAGAAAGACCAGAGAAAAAATTTATCCCTTTAATAGGTTTCCAATAGGACACGACGATATGGATAAAGGAAAAAAAAAAAAACGTATCACATTATATGGCTTTCATATCAGTCGATATCACAAATTATTGATAATTTTTTTGTTTGTTTTAAATATCTGAAACACTGCCAAACTAGTGACTTGCAAATCCTTTCCTCCCTTCACTTTTTTTTTTTTTACTTTTAAGCAGCTCTGAGGCCAGGTGGTGAAACCTGTCATTACTTCTCTGCGAGCTACTCAGGAGGTTCTTGCTGTTTTGTCACTGACTGAACAAGTTTATGTCACCCATCTTGACAGGTTGGGAGGCTAAAGCCTTTCCTCTGCCTACATCCCCCAGAATGCTGTGCGGCTCTAGTTAAATTATTGGACGGTCTGTCTGTTGATATTGCTCACGTGTCGCTGTCTGAGGATTTATTGGCCAGTCGAAGTTCTTAAAGAAACAGCTCCACTTTTATCAACAATAGTAAGAAGGAAAAAAAAAACCTCTATGGTGAATCTCTGCCATCTTTTTGTGTGGCTGCTTATTATCGAAATATTGAACTGTTCCCAAGTCTGTCCAAATACCATGACAATAATAAGAGGGATGACAAAAAGGAGTACATTCTGTTCACGAAGGCCGAGCAGAAGGTGGCGGAGGAGCAGCGTCAGCTTTGGTTAGTAAGGATTTGCAGATGCAATCCGGTGCAGCTTATGGCAGTCTAAGGTCTTTATTAAACCAGATGTTATGCAGCGACCTGCGCTGTACCAAACTGCACGTCTAACACAACAAAAATAGAAGTGGTTGAGGTTGTTCGTGGCGGGACTTGGTTCTTGAAACGAGCTGGCTGCGTCAGTTTCGGAGCAGCCAGCTTTAAATCAGAAGTTCAGCCTGAAAAGTTTCACACCGCGTCAAAATGAACCCCAGGAGGGAACTGTTGGGAGCCGAAAGGTTAGTCTGACTGCGAAAGTTTAGATTAGAGGCCGAACGTGAACATGCAGCCACCTGTTTAGGATTCGTGAGACAAATGAATGAAAATTTCGCAAATTTAAACCGGACTCCGGGCTTTAGCTTTCCCTGCTACTCCAGTCAACCGCGCGCGGGACTCGTTTGCTGCTGACACACCTGTTCGGGTGTCACACTCACAAATGTGCTGTAAAATGTCACATAAAAAGGTGCCAAGCGCGACGTTAAGACGCGTTTTGTTTCACCTTCCGGCTATATTTGAAGAAACCAATGCAGTTCCAGCGTGTTTCGCTACAAATGAAAAAGCCTCAGTCATAATGAAGGAGTCCGCGGAGAGCCGCGGGTTCGTTAATTCGTCTTACCTGCAATTTTACGTGAAAACACAGCACAGCGGACGACATACAGGAAGTGCCTTCTTCTGTTCCGATTCACCAAACCTCTCAGGACGTGCAGTGTCACATTTGTGCCCCCTGCTGGACAGTCTCCAAAAACTCCAGTGTCTGTCCGGAGTTCACATCCGAGCATGAATGCAGAGAAACCTGTACTCAAATAAAAGTAAAAAAGTCACTCAAATAGGGATAAAAAGAGGATTTGGTGAAAAAAAATACTTGTGATCATAACTCCTAATGCAATTTTTAAAAATGGTGCATCAAACTTACAAAAATCCTAGGTATGTGCAAACTCTGGTATTTTGAAGACCAAAGTGGGGGAAAAAGACACAAATAAATAACATGTGATATGTAAATAACAAATACACGCAGAAGAAACACTTTTCCAAATAATATTTTTTCAATGTAAAACTCATGAAAGCAATACTTACAATAGCTACTGTATGTTAGAACAGGGTACAATTTCTTCTTGATCTTCAAATGGCACAAAATAAAATGAATGAATTTAGGGTTGAAGCCAGCTTGTTCAACATTCAGTGCCGTTACATGCTACTGAAGGAAAACATTGTTCTGTAACAGCCTCATCAAGAGAATGCTCTAGGTTTTCTAGGTTTTCTTTTTTTATAAGAATGTGATTTTGTACCACCATTGCCAGAGGTTTCACAGTAGTCCCCAAAACTGTACAAACTTTATTTGTAAAATTCTTTTAGCATTTTTCATTTCTTGACTCTGGAAGAATTGATTATTTTTCTCCACTAAAGACTTATAGAAGATCTATAGAAGATCTGCAGCATCTTGCTCCTCAAGAAGTGCAGTCTGCTCTGTCCTGTCTGGTAAACAGCTTTACTGCTGTGTCTCCTGTCCATATATGAACATAAATTCCTCAACCATCTCCACTTCTTCCACGATAGAAATAACCCTGTTTTCCTTAAAATATACAATCACGTCTTTTGCGTTGTTTGCATTCAAGATATCTTGAATGCACAAGATAAGCATATCAGCCACATCAGCTCTCTGCAGAAATGGTCCAGAAAAGGTCTGCAATTGCTGAATCATTTGAGTATTTCTTCAGATGATGACAGGAGTCTGTTTTGTACTGGTAGTTTGAGGCATACAGAGTAAAAAAAAAAAAGAAATGGTGACAGTACACTGCCCTGTGGTGCTCCTGTGCTGCTGACCGCCTGGTTAGGCACATGACCCGCAAACTGTCTCACAAACTGGTCTGTTTAATAAGTTGTCATTGATTGAGACATTTGCTGAGGCCTTCTCCTTTTCATACATTAAACAATGGTAAATCTTGGTACATGTCTATGTTATCGGCCAGATCATAAGTTATATGCCTGGTATTTAATAGCAGCATGAACTGTAGGCAGCATTATGTGTTTTCCAGCCATATAGGGCCATTATACAGCAGTCAAGCAACACCTGAATGGGGGATGATGAAAAGCTCAGAAAAGTCCATAAAACTGGCCCTTTAGAAATAGTCCCAGTAAAAGGACTTACTCTTCAGTGGACTGTTGTCATAAGTTTTATGTATTATTATCATTTATTATTTTTATTGTGAGCAAGTCCTTCATAACTGTTGAGGACCAGAACAAGAAAGGACCAACAATAACCAAATCATCTTCGCACGTAAGCACACACTGTCCCACAGACGTCCTTCATTGGGGTTTAAAGGGTATGGATATTCTTTAGTGGCATTGTAAACCAGTGGATGGTCTCCTGTGGATATGTGGCATGACAGTGATATCACTGTAGCAACCAGAATGCATTGAATTCATTGCTAAACATGGAATGTGATGACGTCATAGTCACTGACAGAACCTGTCAAATTCAAGACATCTCCCAAAGGAACCCGGCTGAAGTTCGTTTTTCGGAAGCATTTCTAAAATGTTTCTGTCTGCCAGCCCACTACAGAGCAAGACCCTGGGGAGGTCCGAGAAGAACGAGAAGCTGCTCATGGAGGAGAACAAAAAATGCAAGAAGGAAATAGGAAGTTTAGTCGAGAACAATCTGAAACTCCAAAAAGAGATAAGGTCGCTTAAAGACAAGGTAAAGGCGGAAGAGGCTTGCGATGACAAAATAAAAGAGCTGGAGGAGACCATTTCAGACTTGCAGAACAAAGAAGAAGAAAGAGTGAAAAGTCTAAGCAGAATTCAGGAGGAGAACGTTGCTCTTCAAAAGGAAGTCAAGACACTCTGCAACAAAAATGCCATCCAGACAATATGGCGAGAGCAGCAAGCGAAAGACCTGGAAGGCTTTGACAAGCTAAAGAAAGAAGCTAAATTAATGGCGTCAGAGATAAGCCAGCTAAAGAAGCAAACGGACGATCTTAAAGAGACGGAGCAGCAAAACCTAAATAAAATACGGGAACTTCAGGACCTCCTCCAGAATGAACAGACAAAGAGTAAGAAAGCCGAGGAGACATTAAGTATCGAAAGAATTAATCGACAACATTTGTCTGAAAAGGACAAAAAGATATTGGAGACTTTGAACGATAAAGTAGAAGGATTACAGAAAGAAAACAGTGGACTATTGAATGAACTGGACAAATCCAGAACCCAAGCGAAGTCGCTTAAAAATAACACCGAAACGTTGACGGCAGAGATTCGCAGAGAGCGCGTGAGAAACAAAGAGCTGTCAGAGTTACTCAAGGCGAAAACCTCGGAGAGCGACCAACTCCAGACAGAACTGCAGTCCAAAGATGAGCAATTGAGAGGTATGAAGGAAGAAGCGGTGAAAGCTCGAAATATCATCCACTGGATGGAGCTGGAATTACAGAAACTCTCCTGTCAATCTGAAAACGATCGGAAGAAAAACACGCGCGTGGTGTCGACCATAAACAAGAAGAACAAAGGATTGAAGAAGGAAGTGAAAGAAAGGGAAGACAATGAGGCAAAGCTCTTGATGCAAGTGTCAGCTCTCGAAGATCAGCTCAAAGACGTCAAGGGCAAGCTCTGCCACGTCCAGACAGATCTCAGCGAGTCTGAAATAGAAAAAACTTCGCTGAAGGAGGCCAAAAGAGCCTTAAAAAGTGACATCAGAGCTCTTCAAGCACAGCTGGTGATCACCGAATCAGAAAATCAGCTTTTACATGATCAGCTGGAGCAGATGAGGAAGCAAATAGAAGAGGCAGAAGCGAATCACCAGGAGAAATTGTCTACGCTTGAGGGAGAACTGACTAAGGTTAAAGACAGCCTGACAGGCACAGAAAAGGAAAGGCAGAGGCTCACCAAAGAGCTGGAACAATGTCTGGAGGCTGTTTTCAGGAGCAGCAGAAAACTAAACCAACTGCAGAGCCAAAACATTGAGGCAGAGAAGAAGGCAAACGAGATGACCGAGGAAAACAACAATCTCCTTGAGGAGAACAAGAAACTCAAGTTGTTTAAGGCGTATTGGTTGTATTTGTCCGATACAATAATGGCCGAAGTAAATGATTAACATTCACTTCCTTCTGAAGCCACATAAGGAAGCGCACATTGCAACCTTTATGTCTGCCACCGGAAAAAATAAATCCTTATGCACATCCATATACCGTCGCTGTTTATTATGTCCATACGTCCACACACACGTACATGTGATTAATTGACGTATTGCAATGAGCCTCCATATATCGCAATAAATCAATTAATTTAATTAAGTTAAATGAATTGAAATCATCCATCCATCCATTTTCTTCCGCTTATCCGGGGTTCGGTTGCTGGGGCTAGCAGGTTCACAAGGGAGGCCCAGACTTCTCTCTCCCCAGCCACTTGTTCCAGCTCCTCCAGGAACATTGTCCCTCCAGTGTGTCCTAGGTCTTCCCAGGGCCTGCTCCCGGTGGGACGTGTCCGGAACACATCACCAGGGAGGCGACCAGGAGGCATCCTGACCAGATGCCCGAGCACCTCAGCTAGCTCCTCTCGAATTGAAGGAGCAGCTCTACTCCGAGTCCTTCCCGGATGACCGAGCTTCTCACCCTGTCTCTAAGGGAGAGCCCAGCCACCCTATGGAGAAAACCCATTTTGGCCGCTTGTATCCGTGATCTCGTTCTTTCGCTCATGACCAGAGATGAGGGTAGGAACGTAGATTGACCGGTAAATCGAGGGCTTCGTTTTTTGACTCAGCTCTCTCTTCACCACAATGCGCCAGTCCGCCTGTCAATCTCCCGCTCCCTTCTTTCCTCATTCATGAGCAAGATCCCGAGATACTTGAACTCCTCCACTTGAGGCAGGACACCCTCCCTGACCCGGAGCAGGCACTCTACCCTTTTCCGGCTCAAGACCTTGGCCTGGGATTTGGAGGAACTGATCCTCATCCCAGCTGCTTCACACTTGGCTGCAATCCACTCCAGCGAGAGCTGCAGATCACGTCCCGATGAAGCCAACAGGACTACATCATCGGCAAAAAGCAGAGATGCGATCCTTAGGCCAACAAAACGGATCCCCTCAACACCTTGGCTGCGCCTAGAAATTCTGTCCATGAAAGTAATGAACAGAATCGGTGACAAAGGGCAGCCCTGGCGGAGTCCATTTCTCACTGGAAACGAGCCCAGTGAGATGCGAACCAGACTCTGACACCGGTTGTACAGGGACCTCACAGCCTGTATCAAAGGGCCAGGTACCTCATACTACCAGTGAACACCCCACAGGGCTCCCCAAGGGACACGGTCGAACTCCTTCTCCAAATCCACAAAACACATGTGGACTGGTTGGGCGAACTCCCATGCACCCTCCAGGACCCTGCTCAGGGTCCTGCTCAGGGTCCTGGAGGGTGCTATTGAAATCAATTGCATGTAATTGATTTATATAAACTATACAACATACTCACATGCATACACAACATGCACACACCAACAGTCATCACATCAAATTTTGCTGAATGATAAATTGTTCCAGAAGTTATTGCAATAAATGATATTATTGTTTTACTTTTGTTAAACTTTAAATTCTAATGAACATTGAACACTGGAACTGGAAGACATTTTAAATACAATAAACAAAGCAACAAAAACAACAAATGGAATCAACGATGAAGTCTCTGTTTACAAAACTGTCCTTAAAAAAGGGGCTAGAGGATAAATCATGCAGAAGTAAAGATACATATGTGGAGGCTTATCGCAGTAAAACAATTAATCGCTCGATCAATTAAAACAAGCTCAATAATTTCCATTTGTATGATTTATTATTTTTCTCTTACAACCCAAAACTGGATGACAAAAGTCTTCAGTCTAGTGCTTTGGTCTTTTTTTAAGACTTCATAATTCATTCTATTTGTTGTTTTATTTAAAATGTCTTCTTGTTCCAGTGTTCAATGTTCATTAGAATTTAAAGTTAACTGATCTTTGAGAATGTGTTCTTGCATCATTATGCCATTGTCGCTATGATTACATGAAAAAGGTCTCAAAACAATAATATCATTCATCACAATATCCTCTGGGACAATTTACCGTTCAGCAAAATTTGGTGTCGTGACTGGCCAGTGCATATGTATGTATGCGTGTGCACGTTTGTAAAATGTAGAGTTGTGTGTGTACTTATATATATTTATGTATTTTTTGTATATAAACTGACATTTTCTAATTCAGATTTCTAGTTGATTTCGACTTTGTGCTGTTTTTACATCCTGCTGTTTTTTCGTCTCTGTTACTCTGGTTCTGTCCACTTTCTGCCGCAACAGCTTAAATTTCCCACTTGTGGGACTAATCTAGGATAATCTTATTTTATAAACTTTTAAACCCTTATACCAACCTTTTTGTTCACTGTAAATAAGTCCAGGGCTGGAGGCACAATATGTACATACATACATCCATGCTGACATGTATAGGAATTATTTTTTTTTGCCTTCACTGTTTACTGTTCAGAAGGGCAGTTGTTGGTTTTTTTTCTCCAGATTTTATTTTATTTTTTTGCATCAGAATCCACAGGAGAAATATGCATTGCCCACCACAGCCTGAACCTCATTATCAATCATGCAACTGTTTGATCCAGCTGCAAGTCTGGTCCAAATTTGTTTATTAATTTGATATTCAGAAAAACCTGCGAGGAGATGAATCTATGAATAGACGGGACTCCACTGTATACAACTAAAACTGGAGTTCAAGGATATAGCCTAAATATGGCAAATTACTAAATTGATATAGTCACAATGTTCCAGTTACATCAATAAATCTTGATTTTTTATTTATTTATTTATTTATTTTGCAGCTGTTTGCTTTTTGTTCCCATGTGGTCTGAGGACTTGGATCCACTGGAGTTTAACATACAAGGCAAACACACACAGAGGCTCCGCTCGGTGGACTTGAAACCTAACTGGATCTTTAATGACGGATACATTGCAACCTTGCAACACTCACATGTACATTCTTATAGAAAATGAATTCAAACCAATGAGCCACCATCACACATCAGCAGTTTGATAACAGCTACTGGTTCAAACAGAAAAAAATATATATTACTTGGAAAGAGGTATGTATGTATGTTTTCAAATCAAACAAGAAAAGTGGAATGTTGGACACCCTCAGCATATTCCGATTGCAATAACGAGAAACCATTTTTTATTTTATTTTTTTTAGATTAACCTATGTGGTTAATAACAGCTTAAATTGCAGCTTAACTTGCAGTTGGGTGACATTTCCCTGCTTTCCGTCAACTCCGCACAATCAATAGCTATCAGTAGATTTCTACACATACCGCGACTGCCCTCACAGACTAGACCTGCAACATCTACTTGATAACTACAACCAAAGGCAAAGAGAAAATGTATAATGATGAAAGAATAAGACGTGCAAGAACATCGATCTACCTATGTTAAGTGCTATACATGAATAACACGCTTTACTTTCCAACGTGTGTATTGTCAGAAAAACTGAAGTGTCACTTATACAGGATCCAAGTCACAGGCCTGCTTTGAAGAGAGGAAACATGGTTGAATTCCTGTACAGTGAGGTGAAGCGACAAACCGATAATAGAGGTGGAGTACAGAAAACCGTGAGAGTGATGGAAGGTGGTGGGTTAAACTGGATGGCTGGGCTGTGTCCGACCTGGATCAAACAGTTGGTGAAAGCGATTACAGGAGCTCTTTAAACTTACTCGATGAATCACCACAAACATCAAATTCGGTGGCTAGCAGTGGCACTCTTAAGATACCGTGTCTGGGGGTTCGACATTGAAATGGCTCTGAATGATTGTGATGTGGTTCCGTCGGCTGTCCCGGCCACACGTGACGATCTGTGGCGCTTTGGCGAGGCCCGACGCGTCTGTGGGGCCCCGTCTCAGGTCTCTACCTTCTCCTTCTGCTTCTTGCTCTTTTTCAGGAACGACGGCGGCTTGAACTTCTTTTTCTTCTTGGACGGAGACTTGCACGGCGAGCCCTCCGGGGTCCCGCCCTGTAGTTTGATAGGCGGCGCGGCGGGAGTGGAGGAGGTGTCGTTGGTCGAGAGCGCCTTCATCCCTTCCTCCAGTTCTTTAGTCACCTGCTTCTCCTCGTCCCCTCCGTTCTGAATGACCGGAGAGTCGTTGTGTACCTCCGTCGCTGCAACAGACGGTTGAAATGGGAGCAGAGAAAGCGTCAAAGAGTGAGCAAGCGTATACCAGAGGCTGCGGTTTGGTGCTGTGTACGGGGCATGTCTGGGGACGAACATGCTGGCCTACAGGATGTGGGTTTCAACTGGTTTCAAAAGCTGCGTTTCCATCACAAAACTATCAATAGTCTGCTAATGTCGAAAAAAAGAATACATTGTCACAATTCTGTTGTTTCCATTAAGTAAGAAACTTTAAAGGCAAGTCAATAAAAACATGCCGTCCCATCATCCTGCTATCACTTTCATTCACTACTACTAACGTTTGGTTGTTGGTGACGTGACTTGTGTGATGCGGAAAGAGGCTTTCCATCGCCGTTTTGTGAAATGCACTAATTTCTAACCACCTCATTCAAGTGCAATTTATTTTTTCCCAAAAAAAAAAAAAAACTCTATTTATTTTAACCCTCTCAGGCTCAAATTACTTGTAAAGACTATTTAAGTTGTTGCAAATCTGCAACACCTGCCTGGAGAGGGTTATTGGGAGGGTTTCCATTCCAGTTTGAGCGATTGCATGATGAATGAAAACGCAGCTGGTGTTCCGCCAACAGAGAAAAACAATTTAGTGGTTGCGGGGTTTTCGGCAAAGAAGAAGTGCAATTGAAATCAAGCTGTTTGTTGACACTTTTAAGTCACCAAAGAGCATGCTGCGCCGTCATGCTCAAACTACTTCCTGTTTTCTTCTTCGTGTGTCACGCCAGTGGGAACGTCCGGTTGGGAAACCGAATATTTAAAGGTACAACGTCTCCCTGGGCAAACGTTACTTGCACTAGCCAAAGTTTCTCCTCCACGAGTCTGAACAGGATCTTCTGTTCAGCTCAACTCTATTAGCAGCTTTCAGGAACATGGATGAGGTCAGATCAAAATCAAATGTTCCACATTTGTTGGGTCATAAATAAAAAATGTTACTTTCTCTTTTTGGATAGAGGTGAACTAGCATCATACACTGAGGTCCAAC